ACTAATCAACAGGATTTGCGAATGTCTTAGAAGTAATATTTTGTATTTAGCGCATCTCGTGAATATAAGCCCATATCAGCTCTTAATCTATTTATGAGACATCCGTTGTTATACACACATGGAAAAAAGTATCGCAACACCCATGATTTTTAACCCCTGCATAGCCATTTATATTCATATCATAATTATGATTGTTTGCAAATTGCTTGTGGTACTGCTGATTCACCATGCATTGATTTTAGATATGCACGTGCTACAATCAAAGGTGAGCATCACGTGCAATACATGTACCCATCATCAAAAAAATATAGAATGTCAGTGAACAGATCTTACAGCACGATAAGCTGGAAAATCAATTATAATTGATTTCGTTGTTCATAAGCAAATATAAGGCCTCCTCAATTGACAACTGTTCAAAGATGGCAAGTTGGTATGCGGAATGTTGGCATGTCATTGAGGGCTATTGCAAGAGAAGTTGGTTGTCATACAACGAGAAAACATCAGCAAAAAAATGACGTTAAGGGCCGCCAGCGTTCAGGTCCATCACGACTGGCAACTCCTGAGAGTGACAGTCCTTTTCGGAATCACAAGACTATCAGTTTATGAGGCGTGTTGAAATAGACTGGCTTCCAAATCATCATTCGTGAAACAGAAAGATCGGAAATCGCCTGAAACTGGCACTGTATAGTGCCACAGACGTCCGGTGTTATTCCCAGAGGTCGACGTCACTGGAATTTGAGGTGATGGGGAAGGCTCCATTGGTCGGACGAAAGTCGATTTCTTTTGTTTAGAACTGATGACCGTGCTCGTGTTTGGCGGGGGTCATTCATGGTGTGTGACGCCTCTCACATGACTGTAAACTTGACTTTATGACGACCAGGCAAAATCTGAACGGACCAAGGTACATCACTAACACATTTCGATCACATCTTCTGAACACGCAATGCTAGGCCACAGCCTTGTACCGTTGGTGACATCTTACGTCAGCAGGCGGTAGCAAATCTCATTCTCAGATCTCAATCCCGCAGAACATTTTTGAGACATTATATGTCGCAGACTACTCGAGATGCATCCTCCAGTACAAAATCTTAAAAGTATGAAACGCAATACCTTAACGTCAAATTCAACGTCAAATGGGAGGCGGATCACAGATGTTATTGCCCTTTCGGATAGCCGATTACACCAGATATTAACATTGTCCTAGGGTATTGACATTGTCCTAGGGTATTAACATTGTCCTAGGGTATTGACATTGTCCTAGGGTATTGACATTGTCATAGGTATTGACATTGTCCTAGGGTATTGACATTGGATAATGATACCTGTGTGATTTCTTGAGGATACACAACATATATAACACGCATATATCATTGTCGTTACGCGTTGATTAATTGTATTATATATGTTTTGTTCCCGGCATCAGTAAACTATTGAAAGATTTCCTAATGTTAAACAGTTTCTGGCAATAACAATTGTCAGCATAGAAGAGATTTTGTTATGTTTATCAAACAGTTTCAATATAGCATTCGATCCTTTGTTACGTTAGATACTGTTTTGGTTCTCATTCCTCCTCTCCCACCTCGGTAATCAGGGGCAGGTATTTTACAACCCCTAGTGGCACGAACCGTCCACTGAGTTGTAACAGTGCGTGATCTCTGCGACCGTAACATGTGGGCAGTTGAATATACCATCAAACACCGGGTGTCTTGTCCTATCATTATGTTCACAATACAGGTGAAAAACTGTTGCCTGCGTTGGGACACCTTTAATCCCATACTCCAAACAATGTCCCAAAACTAGTTTGACTAGAATAACGGTATGACTTCACATTTTAGTGTGTCCTGGACATGGCAGACAAGAAATGCGCCGCACAGGAAGATTTCCCCAAATGCAACGCCGCTGCCGTGACAAGGACGGTAAGTAACTAAGAACTAAGTAACTAAGAAATAACTAAGAAAAATAGCCAGTTCACAGTTTGGGATGGTTAGTACTGGGATCCACAGGGTAGAAGGCAGTGGGTCCTAGATGGAGCTTGGCTTGAGAGCTGGAATTGTGGGGAGAAGAGGGTAATGGGGTACGAGAAAATATGATGAGATGTGGGCGTTAGCTGAACTCAATAGATGAAAAATGTGCGACATACAGAAATTAGAGTTTCAAGAAGATGGTAAGATGTAGTATAGAAGAAACACGGAAGAGGTGGAGAAATAACAGTGAGATGTTGTGATATAGTTTAGTCGGAGGCCAGGAGAGGTTGAGAAATATCAGTGAGATGTTGTGATATAGTTTAGTCGGAGGCCAGGAGAGGTTGAGAAATAACAGTGAGATGTTGTGATATAGTTTAGTCGGAGGCCAGGAGAGGTTGAGAAATAACAGTGAGATGTTGTAATATAGTTTAGTCGGAGGCCAGGAGAGGTTGAGAAGATGTTCTGACACAATTTTGGAGAGAAACAACAGTTGTATGTTGTGTTGTGATACAGAAGGAAAACAAGTCATGGTTAGTTAGATGTACGGTAAACTTAAAAGATGATAAGAACAGGGAGATGTTATTAGCATATAACACAGCAGAACGAAGCAGGAGAATTGCTGAACATGTTTTGTAAGGGGCGTAATAGTTATTTTGACAAAAGGAAAATGAAAAAAGGTGCGGATAAAATAATATAACATAAGGCCAGACCAATTTTATTTCTTGTTTTACAGAATTTTGTACTCAGAAAACCTAAAGGCAGGAGGGAAAAAGATAAAAAATAAAAATCACCAGCCAAAGTAATATTCCTTTTAAATACTAAAAATATTTTATTTTTGGCAATTTATGAAGGGTAGATGGGTAAAAAAACAATCAAAACATTTTTTTTGTAAGTTTACAATTTTGGCCAACAAAAACATGAGAATTTCATTTTTTGAGCGGGGAAAATTAATTTATATTTTTTTTCTTATTCTTGAAAAAATATGAACGGTGGATCCATAAAACAAGAAATAAAATTTGTCTGGCCTAAAGTGTTATTAATGATTTTCTTCTTCTATTACAACCAGGATGTAAGCCAGTGTACGTGCGTTCTAGCATCGTGTTGACCTTGGATCTGTGTTGCAGGAATGTACGTGTGCTCCAGGAACCCAATGTAAACTGGAGGATAACGAGGGGTCATGTGACTACACCTGTGTACCTGTCGGGAATTCCGAGGACGATGGCGGTGCCGATATGGGCCCCGGTGCTGGCATGAATGATTAACACACCTACGGCCGTCGTCCACGAGATTGCACTCAACAGTGTTAAAGACAGTGGGCCACAAGCTTATCTGACATTAGGTCTTTCTGGACACTGACCCTGTCAATCCGCCTTCAACACAGTAACGTTCTACATCTGCATTTGGATTCGGTTTTGGTACTGATCTCTCAACTTCAAGACGTGAAAATGGTAATTGCTCAAAAGTGAATACGTTTTTCAATTCATGACGAAAACAGGTTATTGCTTCAAGGTAAAAAAGTCAAGGGTTACAGGTGCATACCATGTCCAATCTCATGTCTTTATTGTCACTGTGACCTAATTTTGAAACAAATATGATCTATTTGTCAACATGTTATGTGATCAGTATCAATATTGACTATTAAAGTAATTTATGCGTGTTTTTCGCCAGTTTGTAAAAATATTTTTCGACTTCATTTTGATATAAACAACTGTGGCCCATGATCGGTTTGGCTTATCCTTGATCCAAGTGAAAAGGATTCGATTTGAAACACATACAATATCACCACCATATACTTGCTATTAGTGAGTAAGTGAGTGAGTTTACTTTGACGCCGCTGTTAGCAATATTCCAGCAATATCACGGCGGGGGACACCAGAAATGGGCTTCACACATTTTGTCAATGTAGGGAATCGAACTCGGGTCTTCGGCGTGACAAGCGAACGCTTTTAACCATTAGGCTACCCCACCCACCCACTTGCTATTAAGCCTGATATACAAACACCGTTGTAGGGACCTATGTGAATACCTCGAGTTATCCAAGGTTCGACGCTACCGGAAGATGACGTTATAGGAATACTCAAGGAAAAGGCGTTTACTTCGAGACATCCGAAGGTTGGACATATCATGGTTCGACACAACGGTGTTTGACCGTATTAAGCAAGCAAGGAAGAAAAGAATCGAACCATGGTATCAGTAGAGGCACTTTAATGGATGACGACGTCTTTATTCTATTATAGACCTACCTTCCATGGTGTAATTGGTTAAATGTCATTACCATTACTAAATTTCCACGATCTATATTCGCTTTGTTCTCTACATACACGACTGGCATGACTCAATGCGGCCGAATTCGGTTGGTTGGTTTGGTTTCTTGTTTAACGCCGCACTCAGCAATATTCCAGCTATATATGTGTAAATAACCGGGTATGGACCAGACAATCCAGTGAGCAACATCATGAGCATCGATCTACGCAATTGGGATACGATGACATGTTTCAACTAAGTCAGCGAGCCTGACAACCCAATCCCGTTAGACGCCTCTTACTACAAGCATGAGATATATAGCTGAAATATTGCTGAGTGCGGTGTAAAACTAAACTCACTCACTCTAGAAACATCACGATAGTTACAGACACATAAGAAGAGTAGAATGTAAATCATGTTTGTTTTTCATATTAAGAAGCTATTTGATCTCACATCTACTCTTCAACATTTAATGAAATTAAGCCTTGTCGATACCCATCTGTGAAATTGTAAAGAAGGTTGTGTCTGGTTGCTAGGGGTTTCAACGTTATCAAACCAAATACGCCTTGTTCACGCCATATGCTTGCAGGATCCATACATTCAGGAAGTTAAACATCTCGGACTGTGTACCGTTGGGATCTATAGCCAATTATGTGAAGCAGGTTTGGTGAATATGTATTTTAGTACAGTACGAACCTGAAGAACATCACAGAAATGAGTTTGGCAAAGTGTGCAATTTAACTCATCACGGTCATATTCAACACTGGTCCACTGACAAGGAATACAGAACAGGGGCTCTTTTCACGAAGCAACCTTTGCTAATGTTAACCTTAACTCCCATTCTCTAACACTGCGCTAAGGTTACCTCAGCGACTTACGCTCACCTTAGTGCTTTGTGAAAGGAGGCCCAGGCCTTGGGGTCAAGTTAGTATAATTCACTATATATCCTTGTCCTTTAGGATCTGCCTGTACTGTGTTTGAATCTCAGATTTAATCCATTGGACATTCCTGGTGGCCAGCCCGTGCCACACACCTGATACACCTTTGAGACGTTAAACTGTCACATTCCGATAAAACGGAAATATTGTTTCGGGTGACATTAAACCCAAGTCCATTACAAACTATCCTGTGACCGCGAACGTCTGCACATGTGTTGATTTGACGTGATGCACTTATAAACTCTCTAAATATCCACTCACCTGCGTTTATTCGGGACTGAATGGTTTAGCTGGTTCATAAAAAGTGAGTGAGTGAGTGAGTGAGTGAGTGAGTGAGTGAGTGTTTTGGGTTTTACGCCGCTTTTAGTATTATTCCAGCAATATCACGGCGTTGGACACAAGAAATTGGCTTCAGACATTGTAACCACGTGGGGAATCAAACCCGGGACCTCGGCGTGACGAGCAAACATTTTCACCTCTAGGCGACTCTACCGCCATGGTTCATACTGGATCATATACAATCCGTCGGCACTCGAAGATCACTTAGCTCGAAGATCACTTTTCTCGAATGTTGCTAAACACCAACGAATAATGAATACATAGTTAACACGATACACATGCACAATAAAAAAACTAAGTATGTAGGTAGGTAAGGTTTTAGGGCGACTTTGTGCCTTAAGCGGCCTATATGCGCCCTATTAGGTATGTGTCGCTGTGCGGAGTTGCGTCCCTTGGGTCCTTATCTTGGGTTCGAACCATGGCTCGTCCCAAATATGTTTCTAACCTTGTCCCAACCATACCAATCAAACCCACTCATTCACCCTACCCTAGGCATATTGAGCAATGGATCATTAAGCTCTGGGTACGTTCTGTCTACCACAACACGAGGTCTATCTCCATCAGCTGTGATTTATTCATGAAACCAGATAATTGATCACTGGGGTTGATCAGAGATCAAGACCAGACGCAGGTAGAGGGTATGAGTGCACTTAACTGATCATATCTACAAAAGGGGATGGATGTCAAATAATACCGTCAATAGTTTGATTTGCAATTTGCAGGAACAAAACAGGATTTGGGACCAACTAAGTAATGAGCCTAAATATTTATAATGTTTAACAAATTTCAGCTCTTCAATGCCGAAATTCGGAGTTGTCCTCAGTATCCACATTACTGAAAACAATAACATTACAACATAATGTCGCGTACCGATATGGCAGCCGTGCAAAGTCCACTGTTAAAACTAATGTGGTATCAGGTATAAGAAAATGAACGTGTATGTTACAGAATGTGGAGTAAAATAAATACTAAGGGGCCGTTCATAAGTTGTGGCTCTGTGTGTGTGTGTGTGTGTGGGTGATGATTTTTATGAAACAATGTGAATGACCCCCCCTTAAAATATATGTACAATTAAGTGAGCCTCCTGCATGTCATGACCCCCCTGCCTCCCCTTAAAATCATCATTTATATACCTCTCTCTCTCTCTCCTCCCACCCCCACCCCCACCGCCCCAGGCAATAAATTATTAACGGTTCCCAGCTGGTTTGTGTCTGACTCTAATAACCATCATTGCACTTGGCGTTACATTAATTATTGGATCCAAGTTTACAAATTTCATTGAATATTCCCTGCTTGGCATGCCAGTCTCTACAACTCGTTACTTGCTCTGTCAGACACGCACAACTGACGTATTGATGGCCAATAATTGCCTTCTCTTTCTCTGTCACAGCCGTTACATTGGACGAGAATTTTTTAAAGCATGTCATCTGTGCAAAATAACCACGTTGCCCACGTCTAACACAGATATGCGTACAGCGAACCCGTACACAAGAGAAGACTGGTTTCATAACGTTGGTTTTGTGGACACAAAATATTTCATCTATTACGTTTGACGTGACGAATAATAACTTGCTGAATCAATATTGTCACGGGGAGGGTGGAAGATAGCAAAGTGTAATGTGTCATTCGTAATGGAGATTATTTGATATTTGTGTGTTTCCTCCTGGTTCATGTTTGCACGGTATAATGAAGTCTTAAAATACCCGGTGCTATCCTACCTGTTTATGTCCAAATGTCCAAAGTAAAGGTTATCTTCATCAGCACCTTTGGTAGTAATTGAGTAAATATTTAAGGTCAGTACTGCATTGTTTAGCCATATCCTGACTATATAAGCTATATATGAATTAAAACAAACCTTAATAAATATCAGTCAACAGAAGACAGTAAAATATCCCAGGTTTACAATTACAACTAGCACCTAACCATAAACGATATTTCTTCATACAATAATATTATTATCGAATTTCTCTGAGACAAACTTTAGACTGACTAATGTGATAAAATACTTTAAAATTTCCATTATTCAACAATCATCGCTCGGCATGTTTTGGAAAAATATGTACTCCTTTACCACACATATAATATTTACACAATTGTTCAGCAATATGGTGATGTCAATGTGTGAGACATATTACTATTCTGTGCGTTGAACAAGGTTCTTGGACTACGTGACCAATGAACTGTTTAACCACGAGTGTTGTGATGTGAGGGGTTGAGTCATTTTTGGTCGGCCATTTTCTTTGATGACGTAACATAGGTGTGACCTTTGTGTGACCTAATCGATTGTTGAGCCCCACCCTCCTTTGGGAGTCCGGCCCAGGTGTGTGTGTGACCTTCAGGTTCACCTTAGTGGTCTGGGATTATTATCTTATGAGTTTGCCGACTCGAGTGTTCACACAGCAAACGTGTTCAACGTAGAATTAATATCACACTATGAGGGGGAATTTAGCTGCTATTTATTAGGTCAAAATATCAGAGCGCATTTTGTTAAATCACTAACCAGATTAAAATACGCTGTCACACAAGGAACAAGTCTTAATGTTTCGATATCTGTCGACAATAAACGATTGTAGCAAATAAAATGCATGCACCACCGTATATGATTATTGCGTGAATGGGGCGCTGTCTATGCACTACTGTGAGTACTACTACTAACAGCAGAATCGCTTGCTCGCTGAGCCGTAACTGAAGAGACATGTGACAGCTGTGATTGGATGAAATAGTGTAAGGTGTTATGTTTGTTGAAAGCACCTCCATCCAGTCATTAAAACTGACCACCATTTTAAGTATTCAATGCTGTCATTTGTATCACTTATGCTTATGCGTGTACAAATATGTTCAAGTAGGTGACAGTTTGTGCGGACCTGGGAGGGTTGATGTGTTTAGCTTCCTGTGTGTGGCTTCCTGTGCTCGCAAAGTTAGCCGGTTCAAGTTGACCAGAAATTGTTTTATTGTAATTTAAAGGTCAGACTGTAATCATATGTACATGGAATGGTCGTTGATAATGTTCAGTGTGATGGCGCATGTATGCTGACAAGTGGTCAGCTTCCGTTATGTAGGGAGAGAAGTGTCTGACCGGAATTAAAGACAGGAAGTAGTAAGCAATTGAGGACTGATGGTCACTGAATATCTCAAGTAGTTTGGTTGTACAGTGATGAAATGATTTAGCATTTGTCATATATATTACTGGATAAGAAAACAAAACTGTTCTCTTGTTAAACTTTCCAGTGCTTTTACTCAAAATTTTAAAACTTTACTCTCAAATTGCAAACATAAAAAAGACCATCCAGGAATACTATGTATGACACTTATCTAACATCATGTGACACATAGGTAACTCACATGCCGTTAGCCGCTCTTATTCCACAGACAGCACAATGGAATACTGGTGTAAGCTTCTTGTGACTGTATTGTGTTGGGTATGAAGAGGTGAGGACCTCCTGGTGTTAAGAATTGTATTGTAGGTTAAATGTATTCAGTGACATAGGGAGGATTATTTATCAGTTGTAAAACAAAGATTTGTACAACGAACAGTTGTCTCATGTTAATCCTCCAGCAATGCATTAAGTGAGTGAGTGAGTTTAGTTTTATCTTGGACTCAGTAATATCCCTGCTATATGGTCTGTAAATAATCGAGTCTGGACCAGACAATCCAGTGATCAACAGCATGAGCATCGATCTACCCAATTGGGATATGATGATGAGATGTGTCAATCATGCCAGCGAGCCTCACCACCCGATCCCGTTAGTCGCCTCTTACGACAAGCATGGGTTACTGAAGGTTCATTCTAACCCGCACCTTCACGGGTACAATACATTAAGAAACAAGAAAGATATACAGATTTCATTGTTTATTAGCTCCGTTTCAAATAAGTAGGCTTTAGGATAGGAGCTCTCCCAAATGTCTACTTTACATGTTGTGCTAATTGTATTATTGGCCTTCCTCATCGTCCTGTCCTCCACTTTCTACATCAGATGTCATGTCTTCATAATCATCATCAGTTAAATCTTCTACCCAAGATTTATATTGGTACAGTTTGGAAAACACGTCATGATACAGATCATTCGTGTCTTGTACTCGTTTCAGTATTCCTTGTGTCTTTGGACCCAACTGCATATGATGCAGATAAGTAATAAATCGGGCATACGTCTCTTTAAACGTGCTCCAGATGAATTTCTTCAGTTTGGCTTGTATCATGTCTTCGTGTAACCCTCTTTTCATGTACAGCTGTCGTTTCTCATCCAAAAAGTCATTATTCAGCTCACGTGTACGTGAATACATTTGTGTTATACCGTGCTCCTCGAGATCAGCTATGTTATTTTCCTGTTGCCGTGTGTGACATCACTTAACGATACAGCATCATCATCATCATCATTTTCCATTTCAGGACATTGTTTATCGTGTAAATGTCTTTGTAAGTTGTGGTTATTGCTTAACACTTGACCACAATAGTCACAATCTGACAGCGGTCGTGGTCTCTTCACAGCAGAGAAGTTGTCGTCTTCCTCCCACTTCCTTTTAACTTGTGGTATTCCAGATGGACCTACTGAAGACTTTTCAGGACACCAGTTTCTTCTGTGTTTTTGCAAATCATGCACGTCTTTAAACACGAGTCCACAGTCACCACAAGATG